TTTGAAATAATCGACAATTTTTTCGAATTTTGCAATTTTCGCCGATTAAGTTTTAAAAATTCGTAAAACATCCATTTCTTGGAATATGAGTATAAAAATTTCCCAAAGTGCTAATAAGAGTGTCCTCTTTCCAATGAGCCAACACAATTTGAAAAATAACTTTTAGTTTTTGAGAAAACAATATTTGAAGTTTTGGTAAAATTTTCGATGTTGCAATTTTCATCGATAATTTTTAAAATTCGCTATAAAATTAATTTCTTGAAGGATCCTTGTGGAAGTATCACCAATTATTAATTAAAGCATCTTCTTTTGAATGCAAAAAGCCGTTTTGAAAAATCACATTCAGTTCTTGAGAAATAAATTTTTGAAATGATCGACAATTTTTTCGAATTCTGTGAATTTTCGCCGATTAAGTTTTAAAAATTCGTATAAAATCCATTTCTTGGAATATGAGTATAAAAATTTCCCAAAGTGTTAATAAGAGTGTCCTCTTTCCAATGAGCCAACACAATTTGAAAAATAACTTTTAGTTTTTGAGAAAACAATATTTGAAGTTTTGATAAAATTTCCGATGTTGCAATTTTCATCGATAATTTTCAAAATTCGCTATAAAATTAATTTCTTGAAGGATCCTTGTGGAAATATCACCAATTATTAATTAAAGTATCCTCTTTTTAATGCAAAAAGCCGTTTTGAAAAATCACTTTTAGTTCTTGAGAAATAAATTTTTGAAATGATCGACAATTTTTTCGAATTTTGCAATTTTCGCCGATTAAGTTTTAAAAATTCGTATAAAATCCATTTCTTGGAATATGAGTATGAAAATTTCCCAAAGTGTTAATAAAAGTGTCCTCTTTCCAATGAACCAACCCGTTTTGAAAAATAACTTTTAGTTTTTGAGAAAACAATATTTGAAGTTTTGATAAAATTTTCGATGTTGCAATTTTCATCGATAATTTTCAAAATTCGCTATAAAATTAATTTCTTGAAGGATCCTTGTGGAAATATCACCAATTATTAATTAAAGTATCCTCTTTTTAATGCAAAAAGCCGTTTTGAAAAATCACTTTTAGTTCTTGAGAAATAAATTTTTGAAATGATCGACAATTTTTTCGAATTTTGCAATTTTCGCCGATTAAGTTTTAAAAATTCGTATAAAATCCATTTCTTGGAATATGAGTATGAAAATTTCCCAAAGTGTTAATAAAAGTGTCCTCTTTCCAATGAACCAACCCGTTTTGAAAAATAACTTTTAGTTTTTGAGAAAACAATATTTGAAGTTTTGATAAAATTTTCGATGTTGCAATTTTCATCGATAATTTTCAAAATTCGCTATAAAATTAATTTCTTGAAGGATCCTTGTGGAAATATCACCAATTATTAATTAAAGTATCCTCTTTTTAATGCAAAAAGCCGTTTTGAAAAATCACTTTTAGTTCTTGAGAAATAAATTTTTGAAATGATCGACAATTTTTTCGAATTTTGCAATTTTCGCCGATTAAGTTTTAAAAATTCGTATAAAATCCATTTCTTGGAATATGAGTATGAAAATTTCCCAAAGTGTTAATAAAAGTGTCCTCTTTCCAATGAACCAACCCGTTTTGAAAAATAACTTTTAGTTTTTGAGAAAACAATATTTGAAGTTTTGATAAAATTTTCGATGTTGCAATTTTCATCGATAATTTTCAAAATTCGCTATAAAATTAATTTCTTGAAGGATCCTTGTGGAAATATCACCAATTATTAATTAAAGTATCCTCTTTTTAATGCAAAAAGCCGTTTTGAAAAATCACTTTTAGTTCTTGAGAAATAAATTTTTGAAATGATCGACAATTTTTTCGAATTTTGCAATTTTCGCCGATTAAGTTTTAAAAATTCGTATAAAATCCATTTCTTGGAATATGAGTATGAAAATTTCCCAAAGTGTTAATAAAAGTGTCCTCTTTCCAATGAACCAACCCGTTTTGAAAAATAACTTTTAGTTTTTGAGAAAACAATATTTGAAGTTTTGATAAAATTTTCGATGTTGCAATTTTCATCGATAATTTTCAAAATTCGCTATAAAATTAATTTCTTGAAGGATCCTTGTGGAAATATCACCAATTATTAATTAAAGTATCCTCTTTTTAATGCAAAAAGCCGTTTTGAAAAATCACTTTTAGTTCTTGAGAAATAAATTTTTGAAATGATCGACAATTTTTTCGAATTTTGCAATTTTCGCCGATTAAGTTTTAAAAATTCGTATAAAATCCATTTCTTGGAAT